TATATATATATATATATATATATATATATATATATATATATATATATACACACACACATATATACATATATATGTATGTGTATGTGTATATATATGTATATATGTGTATATGTGTATATATGTGTGTGTATATGTGTGTATATGTGTATGTGTGTGTGTGTATATGTTTCTGTGTGTATATATATATGTATATATGTGTATATGTGTATATATGTGTATATGTGTATATGTGTGTGTATGTGTATATATGTGTGTGTATGTGTGTATATGTGTATATATGTGTGTGTATGTGTGTATATGTGTGTATATGTGTGTATATGTGTGTATATGTGTGTGTGTGTATATATATATTTCTGAAACATATATACACACAGAAACATATATACACACACTCACAGAATTTTTCTGGTTGAAGCAAGTACCAATAGAGACAGGAGTATCCAGGGCCCACCTGCTTGGCATACCTCCTCAGAGCCCCTGAGAAACACCAGGGTCCACAAGTGAGTGACTCATATCCAGCCACGGTAGCTGGGCTCTAGCTAAGTCTTCTAAGTAGTGCCCTAGAATCGTGGCCTCGGAATCCAGCCAAAACCTCATGATGTAGTAATCTGCATTTTTGCTAAATCACAAATCTGAATTATGAGCTCTGGAAGGCTGATAAACTGGAACAGCACTGTGCAGGTTACTTTTGATCTCTAACCCTGAGTTTCCTCATCTGTAAAAGGGAGTCAATCTGTAACACTATTACGGCCGAGCACCACCAGTGCTTAGGGTAGTAACAGGAAGTCTGCACACAATAAGCTCTAGCTTATGATTTTACTATGGTTGCCATTCATTACGAACATTACTTGTCCCTTTACTTGTCCCCTGATCCGTTGCCAAATTCCTCTTCATCCCCACCACCACATTTTAGGCCCTATTTATTCAAATACCTAGTTCTTACAAAAGCTCCTCAGGTAACAATTTCAAATAATACATGTGGCGTAAAAACTGTGCAAACAGAAAGCCAATCCAGAAACACACTCACTCTGCTCATGCAGCAAAAGCTGAAGCCTAAGGACATTCTGCGGCTTCACACATCACTTACCAACATTAGGTCTAGTGAGTCCCTGCTCAGACTTACTGGAAGAGTGAAAGAGTTTCAGGTGGGGTTTTAAACCATGGATTAAATTCTGACGACTTCTACAGTGATTACAATAACCTGGAGAAAGTTGAGAGTTCTTTTTTTTTTTTAAACAAAGAAATAGATATATATCAAATTTGCTACCCTGAAAAGCAGGCTCGATCATTTTTAAAACTAGGCAAGGCTATAAAACCAGTCACAAATTCTGTGCTACAGAAAACTGTAGAGCTTTAAGACAAATTTGAAAAGAACAGTAAATTTACAAGATGTAGAAAATCTAATGTTTGAAGATAAAACTTCATATATTTCTGGCTAGGAAGAGACAGGAAATCTCTTCTATGAGAAGTTAAGGATGCTTAATACTTTTCTTTTTTTCTTTATAACTTGGCATTATTTTAGAAATGCTTAGACATCCTGCTACCATCAGAAGTATGAATTGTGGTTGTCACAACTACTTGTGCAACTACAACAATAACTCTGTTCTAAAATGAGGCAAACAAAGCCACGAAATGGCATGATATTGAATAGGTGATAGCCACCTTTCAGCATTACTCATACTACTCCATTACAGAAAGACAGGTTTAAAACCTGGTCCACAGTGTCCGGCTGTGAAAGAACAGAACATCATCAAGATAAATTCTAGCAAAGACGAAGACTTACTGGAGGCACTGTCAATGCTGCTGATGCTGTCTGCATCGTGCAGGTGGTGCCTGTGGAGATGTCTGTAGAGGCTAAATTTCGAGAACTTTCTGGATTTTCCTACTCCTTTCAGTTTTGAATCCATATCATCAACGCTCCTCAGGGTGGGCGGATTGTTACTAGCTTTGTTTTTATCTTGAAGGCTTAAGGATTCCATGGACTCTGTTGTTTCAGCCTGAGAGAGTTATTAAAAAAAAAAAGAAAGAAAGAAAGAAAAAAGATACCTCATAGGATATGCTGCAATGTGACCCTTTAATTCTAGTTGAGCTGACGTGTAAAGTTCACACATGATGGTCTAATAGACACACAATAATGTGTGAGGTCAGCCACAGGGCAGTGGAGGATTCTTGTGAGCTGCTTAAATACTGGCAAAGGAATACCAGGCGTTCCATTGTACATCCCCCTGCAGTAGATTAAATTCTTGAAATTTCATACCAGTTAACCTTTTTATGTCAAATACAATTACATGAGCTATATTCACCATTGAGCTACTGAATTGCTTCCTCCGATAAACGTGAATAGTGCTTTTTCTGTCAACCGTTTTTTTTTTTGCTACTTATTCACTAAATCTCTACTTTTTCCAGAAAAGTCACCAGCATATACAGCAGCAAGATAAAATGGAGACCATCAAAATTTTTAATGAGTGTATTGATATTTTGGCAACCATTAGAGTTAAACCACTAAGCACTGTTTATGGATATGGCCATATGGGTATTTTGGCAGCGCTTGATTTAAAAGGTACTTTGAGAAGTTATTAAACTCCTGCTTTCAAAAAGAAGTCCCTCCATGACTCCAGACTGATGTATCCTATTTTTGCATGTTTTTAAGTAGGAAGATTTCAAAAACCTTTGCAGGTACTTGTAGTAAGGCTGCTTATTTAACTTAAAGCTCAACTGATGCACATTTTTGTTTATGAACATTTTTTTTTTCCAAATAGGAAATGAATCTTTCATTCAAATGGAAAACAGGAGTTAATTATGAGCTGGCAAATGCTCTGTTGGATCTGTTTTCTCTTACAAGAGAAGAAAGAGATTAAGAGATGCAAAGTTACAGACTTGCTAGGTGGTCTTTGAAACCAGGTCTGTCCATCCAGGAATAGGCTGCCCCCCAGTGAACCAATCAATCAGTCATGCTATTAACACATACTTATACAAATCATGTCCCTTCTATGCAGTTCCATAAAGGTGAGATTTACTTACTGTGAAGGAACTCAGAGATGGTCCTACAGTGACACGCTTCACGCTGCCCACGTCTGTGAGTCTGTGTTCGTTGTCATCCCACCTTCCATAGGCCAGGTCGATCCCACCCACAAAAGCCACTGACTGGTCGATGACAACAATTTTCTCATGATGAGCCCACAGATACACGCTGGATGATACATGATCTGGGTGCCTCATCACCTTGGGAGGGAAAAGAAAAAACCCACGAGTAATGCACTTTTTAAAAAGTTCTTCATGTTATAATAAAATATATGTTTCATCCCCTGAATAGCATTTTCTATAATTCAAATACCAGAATATGCTCTGTATACACCAAACTTCTAATTTCATTCTCAGTGCTTACAAGAGGAAGATTCCTGGTTACTTTTTTAAGCCTCCCCACCAGCCCTGCCCCATACCACATTTGGAGGAAGCTGCCATTTAACTAGAAATGTGGTCACATATTTCAGTAAAAGCTGTAATACCTTTTGTAATGTAAGAGCTGATTCCTTTTTTCCACCTAAAAGGCTTATGCTATACCTGATCTTATTTTAAAAACAACAAAAAACTCTGAAAATGTTTAACCAACATCTACCTCTGAGAAAATTTTTAATAGGTATATTGATATTTTGGCAGCCACTGAGTTGAAATTGCAAGCATACGGATATAGGGATATACATACTTTGGCAGCTCTTGATTTGAAAGATATTTTGAGGAGTTATTATTCTTCTGCTTTCAAAGAGAATTCCCCTTTTTTTTTTTTAATTTAATGCTCATTTATTTTTTGAGAGACACAGAGAGACAGAATGCAAGTGGGAGAGGGGCAGAGAGTGAGGGAGACAGAGAATCCAAAGCAGGCTCCAGGCTCTGAGCTGTCAGCACAGCGCCTGACACAGAGCTCGAGCTCACGAACTGTTCTGAGCTGAAGTTGGAGGCTTAACTGACTGAGCCACCCAGGCACCCCTAAAGAGAAATCTCTTTAGATGATCCCAGACTGACCTATCCTATTTTTGTATATCTTTAAGTAAAGCATTCCAAAAACTTTGGAGACTACTAAAGTTCTTAGTAACCTACATTTGTTGTGTGTAGTAAAATACACGTAACACAAAATTTACCATTTTGACCATTTTTAAATGGACAGTTCAGTGGCATTACATACATTCATATTGTTCAATCATCACCATTATGTATCTCCAGAACGCTTCATTTTGCAAAACTGGAACGCTGTATCCAATGAACAATAACTTCCCATTCCCTCCTCCCTGAAACCACTGGCAAACACCATTCTATGTCTCTATGAATTTGACTAAGTATCTTACTATTTGCCTTTTTGTGATTGGCTTATTTCATCTAGAATAAGGTGTTCAAGGTTCACCTATGTTTTAGCATATATCAGAATTTCATCTCTTTTTAAGACTTAAATATACTCCACTGTATGTATATACAAATCATTATTGAGATTGGGATATTAAAGTGTCCAACTATTATACAATTGATTGTACAATTGTCCATTTGGTCCTTCAATTCTGTCGGTGTTTGCTTTATATATTTTGATAGTCATTATCAGGTATGTACATGTTTACAATTGCTGTATTTTTTTGCTACATTAAAACTTTTAATAATATATAATGTCCTTCCTTATATATTATAAACTTTTTCTATTATAATATCATCTGATACCAGTATAGCCACTGCTGCTCTCTTTTGATTAGTATTTACATGGAACATCTTCTTTTAGCCAAATAAAAACACATAATTGTTATATACTGTAAGCCTGTTGGAGATTTATTAATTCATATGTCTTGGTGTATCTCAATGACTTGGCAATAATTATTGATAGCTTTTTCAGTCTTTAGTAAATATCAAATTGCTCTTTTTTATTGCTTATTGTATTTATTTATTTTAATTAGTTTTGTATATAACACACTATTAAGAAAAAGCTTTTTAAATCCTAGATGAGCTCTCTGTTGCTATGAACATTCAAGGGACATCACAGGGAGACCACATCTAAGACATTCCAGGATAATCTCAACGAGGAGCAAGGGAACTTGACGAAGCTCCTGAGTATTGAAACAATTGTAGAAGGTGTGTTCTTGGCTAAATTATCAGGTTAGGAGAAACAGAAATGTGAACTCTGCTGACCCCATCGATACCAGAAGTATAAGAAAGTATTTTTGTTTTATTTCTGAGAAGGATCCAATGCTATTCACTCAAAATTGTACATTAGGGAATTCTACAAATTACCACTGCGCAAAGCAAAGCACACCTGAAAGACTACAGAATAATACAGAAGAAAGGTTGTTCAGAAGGATGAACCTATTACCTTTATGTTGGGGTGTAGACGCATTAAAGTCCTCTTGCTGTATTCACTGTTGATTCCAAGAGCGAGTTCCACCTCTTTGTAGAGCATTATGAAGATTCTCACCCCCTCTTGCTGTCACAAGAGAGAACACAAGGAGGAATGAGAATTTCTGAAAGTAGGTTATGCTTTTTCTTGTCTTTTTCTTGCCTGTGTATTATAAAGTTTCTTCTATAAACAAGTATAATAAGATATTTAATGAAAAATGCAATACGAGAAGGTGAAACATAAGTATATATTAAGATACAAATATAACAAAAATGTATCTCCCTTCCATTCTTAGGACTTGTCATACCAAGACAGAGTGTCAATATTTGAAAAGGCTGAAATGGTAAACTTACCAGCGAAAAGTGATGGTCTTATACCTGTGAACATTTTCAAACACTTACACAACATTAAGGAAAGTGTTGGCCTGATTCAGGTTGCAGGATTAGGGTTTTTGGTTTGTTTTTATTACACTTCCATTAGTTAAAATAGCAGTGACAAAAAACTCTGATGGCAATAAATCACACTAAATATCCCTTAAATGTTTCTGGAGTATTTTAATAGAATTTTTCTTTATTAAAAATTACTTAAGTAAAAAAAAAAAAAAACCATTTATCTTCAGAGATGAATATAGTGATTCACATTTGGAACTCATAGTTACATCATTAATGTCTATTTGTGACATGACTTCTTTGGAAGTTTCTCTAATGTTCAAAAATCCCTGAGATTTAGCAGCAGCACAAAATTAACATTGATTCAACCTTAGACCTTGGACTTAAAAGAAGACAAATAAGGCCATTGTGAAGGTCAAATTAAATCAAAAGTACCTGATAAACTTGAACATGCTATGTTAACAATATTTTTATTAGTATTAACTATCAAAAAGACAATGTCGGGGTGCCTGGGTGGTTCAGTTGGTTAAGTGCCCAACTTCTGCTCAGGTCATGATCTTGCAGTTCGCAGGTTTGAGCCCTGCATTGGGCTCTGTGCTGACAGCTCAGAGCCTGGAGCCTACTTTGAATTCTGTGTCTCCCTCTCTCTCTGTCCCTCCCTCACTCATGTTCTGTCTCTCTCTCTCAAAAATAAATAAATCAACTTTATAATAAACAAATAAATGCAATATTCTAAAAAAAAAAAAGACAATGTCTAATAGCTGGTAGTATAAAAAAAATAGTATTTTCTCCTCTAGTTTGGATAGTGATAAGGTTTTAGCTAAATTGGCCCACACCTGAATGTCCTTCCTCTTCTCCCTGTCTAGTCACACAGTCCCCTCACCAACATACAGTTAAGAATGTATTCCTCCAGGAAACTCTTATCTTATTTACCCCCACTTCTTATATGACCTTTTTACTTTTTAGATTTGTATCCTCACTACTGCTGTGCAGTTTGCAACATTTGAATTTGCATTCTCTATATCCAGCAGCTCTGAAGCCATTTTGAAGCATACTGCATACATACTGGATAATGTATCTACACCTAGGCATTTAAAATCCTAGAGATAAAAGGCAAGAACTTGTACACAGTACAGTACTTTATAAAGCATTAGAGATACTGGCATATGAAATAAACTATAGTGACAAAGAGTAATTTAATTACAATTTAAATTATCAATCCATGGTAATTAGATATACTTCATAATGGAAATTTGAGTCATTAATTTAAGAAGCCAACTGGGTCGAACGCAACTAATTTATAAGAATTGGTTATTTTTGCAACACTATAAAAATATGAAATATCATAGGAGTTAATATTTTTAAGTTGCAGGGTACAAAATCTTGGAGTACACCAGATTTTATATAT